TCACGACCGCTGAGACTATTTTTTTTTTTTATAATAAAAAAGGGTGAATAGTAAAATTTTTTGACTTATTTCTTATTTCAGGCTATAATAACCTCCAATTGCTCTTCCCAAACAGCGCCATAATACAAATATCTGCCAAATAAATTTTGACGTAGTATTTTCTTTTGAAATGTTAATCCTCTCAATACATATATATATATATAAAGAGCAATGTTATAGACTACTAATTTATCATCACTAATCCCACCACTAGTGAGGTGGCAATTGAAAAAAAAAGAAAAAAAAAAAAAAAAAAAAAACAAGACACAAAACACATGTGGCAGTGGATCCCGCTCACTGCCACATCATTAGAGCCACCACTAATTAGTGGTCTAAAGCATTTTTGAAATTCACAAAGTTGTTTTGATATTTGTTGAAATTCTCCACACAAATATAGGCCCTCATTTGGGAAGTGGCTATTTTAGAAGTTTTTTGACTATTTTCATAAGCTATTTTAGTTTTTGTGTTTGGGAAGATGAGATGGATTTTTATTTGAGTTGCTGTATTAAAAAGTGTGTTGAAATAATGTTTAAATTTAAAATGACTAATTTGTCCTTAATATTATAATTTTTTAAATTGATATAAAGGGGCAAAATTATAATTTTTCAAGTGATGTAACAATTTTGACACTTTGACAGTGTAGGCTGTGCCTACACTGTCACGACCGCTGAGACTATTTTTTTTTTTTAATAAAAAAGGGTGAATAGTAAAAATTTTTGACTTATTTTTTATTTTGGGCTATAATAACCTCCAATTGCTCTTCCCAAACAGCACCATAAGACAAATGTCTGCCAAATAAATTTTGACGTAGTATTTTCTTTTGAAATGCTAATCCTCTCAATAAATAAATAAATATATATATATATATATATTATATTTTATGATTTATTCAGTATATCATACCTGTAAAAAATCAAGTTGATCGGATATCAGAAAGTATGTGTTTGAAAAATTGAACTAAACACTATTTTTTAAAGAATTTAATAAACAGTTTTCCGAACATATGCTTTCTGATATCCGATCAACTTGATTTTTTACAGGTATGATATACTGAATAAATAATAAAATATGAACGGTTCGGATTATCAAAATTGAGCCTAAAAGTAGACCCGAAAGCTTGTAAGGACGGGCGCAAGCACGGAAGCTGCCAGGAGAGGATCCTCACTCGTTACGAGGGTCCTCCACAAAAAGGGTATGACTCATTTTTCTTTTGTTGAAATGCTAATCCTCTCACTCACGTCACAGATACAGAACAAGAACAGGCACAAACACAGATCAACCTGAGAAAACCTCTGAATTTTTGTGTTAACAAACAAAAACTCTAATTTTTTTTCCCTAAAAATTGAGTTCAAAGAAGGACAGCAAACAAGCTTTATTCGCTTCGGAAACCCCAATTTCAGATTCATTAGAGCTGAGCACATTCAATACATGCACGCGCGCGCACGCACACACACACATACACAGACACAGAGAGGATCTGCTTAGATCAGGGCTTCAAACAACCATGGCTGGGACCTCGAACAAACGATCTCACCTTCACCAACAACAATCTTCTTTGCCATTATGCTTCCAAACTCAAGAGGACCACAACGAGAGGATGCAGAGGAAAGAGAGAGATCAGTTGGGAAAGAGAGAAAGAGAGGGAGGGCAGTGATGATGGCAGTCTAGATCTAGGGTTTGGGTAGGCGAATCTACAGATCTGTAAATGTTGGCGTCGGATTGGCGGTAGTGGGAGGCGGCGGTGACGAAGCCCTTGGGTTCGTCGACGACAATCTTTCATTCCGTCCTTCGAACATATCACTTTTTCTTTGTGATGGTGACTTCGGCGGAGGTGCCGGAGTGGACGTAAAGCCGGTTTGGCTGAGTCGACGACGGCATGAAAGCGAACCACCAGTAGAACATGGCGAACTCAAAGAAGAGGCTTCGAATTAGGGTTGTGCAAAATACCATCCAATCCGTTAAAATCGCACCGATCTGTATTAATTCGAACCGCTCTAACCGTTAACCGCGGTTTAAACTTTAAAATTTATAATTCAACAACCGAACCGCTCCGCTCTACTATACTTAATACATATATATTTTTTAACTTTAAATGAAATATCACTGTAAAAATGAGTGTGAGAAAGATTTAAGATATGAAATTTATTACAAATTAGTAGTTATATATATAAAACATATTATGTAAAATTATTTTGTATTATATGTTTAAAAAATATTATACAAATTAGTGCTTTATATTAGTCAAATGTATAATAATTAGTTAAAATATTCTTCAATCTGCAAAAAATCACCAAAATCGCAATTTGTCAATCCGTTAATCCGCTAACCTGCTATTCGATTTGTAATTTTACTCTCAAACTGCTTAAACCGCATTGCATACACCTCTACTTCGAACAGATAGAGAACAATTAGAGAGAGAGAGAGACTGATTGAGTAAAGCAACATGCGTGGTTTTAAATATATGAGGATAGTTTAGTCATTGTGCATAAGTATGTCATGGATATAATAAAGCCAAGTTTGGGAAGTATAAAAAAAGTCAAAAAGTTACTCAAAAAGTTAAAAAGTTATCACTATTCAACAAAAGTCAAAAATTACGGCTGTACAACTCCCAATCCTAATTTTTTCCTACACACTAATTTATACAATTTTTTAATACACATTTTTCATAAAAAGTCAAAAAATTAACCCAAACATTCATATTTTTTCCCTTAACTTTTTAATCTAAAAAGACAAAAAGTGCACTTATTTAGGACACCCCAAACAACCTCTAAGAGTGGTGCTTTTAGCACCCTATCTATTATTTTGGACCCCTCATTTTTTTGGAGCGTCATTTATAAATTTTGAAATCTTTAAAATCTGTTTTCTTTCCTAAATAATGCTAAAATTATCCTTATGAAAACTTTTTATCCATTCAATTGAATGCACATCTCCTACCCAAAAAAAACATCTCTTCCAAAAACCCTAACAAAACCCACGAAGAAGAAGAGTCAAGTGTGATTACTCTCCCTCTCTCTACCGCTTCATCATTTTCTTCGGTGATTAATGTTTTGTTATCGATTCCTGAACAAATAATAAATGTTTGGTTACCAGTTCTCGAACAAATAAATAATGTTCGGGCCTGTGTTTCCGAATTTTGATCATATGTTCCAGAGTTTAGTCCCGAAAAAATGACGAACAAATTTTATTATTTTTGCCATTCTTTTTTTAAGAAACTTATTCTTACAAGGCCAATCTCCCTTGAGCTAAGAATACCATCAAACCTATGAACTTCCTTTAAACTTTTATTGTTGTACTCCTCTCATCTCATAGAGTTGTGGTTGTCGAAAAAATTTCCACTAATTATTATTCCCGAAAAAATGTAGGTAATCAAATGGTTACTACCGTTATCGCCGGAATATTATTGCCAAAAGGTTTTCAAGATTTTGAGGGTGGGTAAGTTTTGAAGGTAAGATTTGGAGAAGATGAATGGTGGTGACGAAGGTGGGTGCTTTATAAACCCTAATTCATGATGTAGTGGTGTGTAGGATTCGTTGTGAGATGTGATGTCCCAAAATTAATGATGTCCTTTTCCATAATTTTATTTGAGGTTATTATTGTAATAAAAAAAAAGAGCTAAAAATTGCAGGGTCCAAAATAATTCATGAGGTGCTAATTGCAGTATTTTATAATAATTTCGTGCAAGGACTTCTGGGCAAAAGAAATTGAAATTTAGACAGTTAGACCGAGTGCCCTTTAAAAAAAAAAAAAAAAATTATCTTTCATTTTTTTAAGTGACAATTGCTATAAATTGAATACGTTATGATTATCGGATTGATTTATTTTTTTTGTGTGAATGATATACATGAAGAACCTTACAAATGAATGATTCATATAATTAAAATTGGACACGTTGTAGGCCCTGCAAACCCGAATAGCATTCTCCAGTCCAAATGGGTGATTGGTGATGGCTGAATTACAATTACCTTTTCTATAATTTACTTAAAATATGGATTGCCCTCTATGATTTTAGAAATTAAATTTTTTCCCAACAAGTTTCTAATTAAATAACAAATGATCAATTTTATTAATAAATTATCAAGTTAAATAACAAATTTTAATGATATCATAAATACATTTTAATTAACAAATCATGTAATTTTATTATTCCATAAAAGAGTAGTTAGAATTTTATTTTATTTTTGTTAATTCTGTTGAAATAAAAAATTGTACCAAGGATGTATTTATAATTTTCAGAATCATAATGACAAAATATATTTTAAGTAAATCGTAAGAAGTATATTTGCAATTTACCAAAAAAAACTATGCAAACATGTAAACAGTGAACTGAAATCCAGCCACAAAAAGAAAAACCGTAGGCAGAAAATTGGGTCAGAAGGCCATCTCTAATTATTTATCAAATTTTTCATTTAATTTGATTCCAAAATTAAGTAAAAAATTTAATTTGATTTGAATTACTCCAATTCTTTCATCAAATTTTCATAAAAAAATGTCTCAAAAAATTACTCTCATCCCAAATTTCACTTTTCATCAATTTTGGTGAAACAAAACCAAGTTTATGAAAGGATTGGACTTCATTATCACTAAAATTTTCGTCAAATTTAAATTTGATGAAGGATTGGAGATACACTAATATAATACATGTAAATGTGTATGTTCATCTTTATAGACCTTCACATAAATAGATTGGTAAGTTTTCCAGAATACAGAACATATGATAGTTTACACAAAATTTGAAACATATATTTGCCCTCTCTCATTTTTTGGGTCTTTGAAATTCTCAATCCATTCTCTCCTCGTTCAGGTTTTCCAATCCAAGTCAAAGCCAAAATGAAAAATGCTGTGCATCAATAATTCTAGAAAAACCCAAACCACCAATCACAACTGAGAAAGACAGAGTCCCACATCGAAAGAATAAGAGAAACGTGAGCTGTTTTAATATGACCAGAAGAGATGAAAATGATATGATCTTACTTGAACAGGATTTGTTCTATAGGATTGTACTTCTGAATCCTTGAGTTTAAAGGAGTCAGGACCCAATGTCTGGTGGATGAATCGAGGCCGCTTGATCAGAGCGTGATTAATGGCTCGGGTGGGTTCAGTTGCCTGACCTTCCTTGTCGTAGAGGATCGTTCTCAGCTGGTGCTCCACTGGCTGTGATGGTCAAGCGGTTGTCTGACAGGCTCAACCTTCCAATTCTTTTTGCAATTTTGCTTCTCTTCTGGTTTTCATTCTACAAGAAACAAAACAATTATTGGAGGGAAAAGAGGGGACTATTTACTGAGCTGCTTGTAATTTGGGACAAATATTTAATCCAACGCATGTCTTTTTTTTAGTTCATCGGACATGGAGTCCGGTTGTCTGACAGGCTCAACCTTCCCATTCTTTTTGCAATTTTGCTTCTCTTCTGGTTTTCATTCTACAAGAAACAAAACAATTATTGGAGGGAAAAGAGGGGATTATTTACTGAGCAGCTTGTAATTTGGGAAAAATATTTAATCCAACAGATGTCTTTTTTTTAGTTCATCGGACATGGAGTCCGGCCAGATTCTTTATCCCCTATATGGGGAACTGTTGTATCCTATGGGGGGTGGGACAATTTTCGGGCAACTATCTACTATTGGGATTATGTGGTACAATGACAATTTGACCCTCTACTATTTAATTATGTATTATATTTAGTAAAATTCAATAAAATTTAAATGTCTCAATTTAAAAATAAAATAATTTTATTTTACTTTTTATTGATGTTTTATTTATTTAATTTTTTTAAATAATTTTTTACAGATTTTTTATTGTTGTTTTATTTTAAAGTTTTGTTTATAATTTATTTAATTTCATTATTTAAAGGATTTGTTCTATAGGATTGTACTTCTGAATCCTTGAGTTTAAAGGAGTCAGGACCCAAAGTCTGGTGGATGAACCGTGGCCGCTTGATCAGAGCGTGATTAATGGCTCTGGTGGGTTCAGTTGGCTGAACTTCCAAGCCGTAGAGGATCGTTCTCAGCTGGTGCTCCACTGGCTGTGATGGTCAAGCGGTTGTCTGACAGGCTCAACCTTTCATTTCTTTTTGCAATTTTGTTTCTCTTCTGGTTTTGGGTATTTACGTGTAGGTACTTATTATCTAATAGATCTTACGAAAAAAAGTTATTAATTGTCAATTTTTAAAGACATACATGAAAAATTGTCACAAAAAATTATTTTTAGCGATAATTTTACCAAGACTTATTTATAATAGGACTTGATAGAAATTAAGTCTAACTATTAAGACTTATTGGTAGTTTACCCTCTGCTTTTTTTCATTCTAGAAGAAACAAAACAATTATATTTCTCGTATTCTTGTATATGGAGGTGAACTGTGGATTTCTTTCTGGAAAATTTATGCATAGAACATAAATTAACACGCTATATGCATATAATTTCTTTTTGATGTGTAAAAAAATATATATTTATTTTTTTCAAAGTTATTACCGTAATGATGCTTATGTCATCTTCAAAATTTGAGGTAAAAATAAATTAGACACAAAATATTGAAATGCTGATTCCATGCTCCAATACAGCTTTTAGAAGCAGACTTGAGCTCCTTTTTAGATTTTTCCTGAACTAATCAAGCATTGTTTTAAATGTCACCTTTGTGGGACTTGAAAAATAGCTTCGTAGCATATTTTTTTCTTTTAAATTGAAGTATCAGTAAACGCAAGTATCATTTCAAAAAATAGATTCATTTTTGTGGTAATAATATGACAAATAACTACACTTTGAAGATTAGAAGATCATTGAAATTCCCATTCACAGGTCTGAGCTTTTCCAAAGTATTCCATTATAACAAGCAGCATAAGTTGCTATCATTAGTTTAGGATTGATTTTTTCCACAAGCAAATCTGACTTCATCTACTAAAATTATCTAAAAAATAGATGACAAATTCCTGATAAGTAATGATTGGATCGCTAAATTCAAATGCTAGCAATGGGGTCTACCAAAATCTTTCGGATCATTGTCCAATCTTTCTGTGTGACGAGTCGAAAGATTGGGGACCCAGGCCCTTTAGATTTGTTACTGTGTGCTTATCTCAACCTGCTTTTAAGCCTTCAGTAACGGATGTTTGGAGTAGTTTCTAGGTGCAAGGATGGAGTGGCTTTGTGTTAGTTAAAAAGATTCAACATCTTAAAATCACTATCAGCGAATGGAACAAATTGATTTTTGGAAATCTGAATGATCAATTCAAAGCTATTGCTGAAGAAATCCAGAAGATAGATATTGTCAATGAAGAAGGGAGCTGATGAAAGACTCACGGGAAAGTGGGAAGGTTAAGCAAGAGTTCTTTGGCTGAAAAAAGGGAATTCAAACACAGCTTTTTTCCATTTGATTGCCACTAACAAACTCAAGAGAAACTTCATTGGGAAATTTGAAATGGGGGAAAATGTGTTGGTGGATCCAGATCAGGTGAAAGACGGACTGGTGGAGTTCTTTTCAACTCAATTCAGAGATGTGGGCTCGTGTAGGCCTCACCTTAAAGGCATGTTCAACAAAACTTTGAATTCAACAAATGCTCAGTCGCTGAAATCAGAGTCCTCTGATAAGTTTGTTTTGAAATAGTATGCAGTTGTAAGGCGCCTGATCCAAATGGGTTTAATTTCAAATTCATAAAAAAAATTTGGCCAGTTCTTAAGGAAGACATTATGAATTTCATAAAAGAGTTTTATTTGAATGGGAAATTGGCAAAAGTAATCAATGCCACCATAGTTGCGCCTATCCATAAATTTTACTGTCCTAAGTTGCCGCATGAATACATACCTATAAACATGGTGGGGGCAGTGTGTATGATTTTATCAAAACTCTAGCTAACAGAGTAAAAAATATTTAGCTTGAGATCATTGATGAAACCCAATTTATTCATGGTAGGCAAATTCTTGATGGAGTCTTTATTGCAAATGAGATCATTGATCACTGGAAAAGGAGAAAATCAGAAGGTATAATCTTCAAGATTGACTTTCAGAAGGACTATGACTATCAATTGGGATTACCTCTTCCATATGCTAAAAAATTATATAGTTCAAGAGAGAGATGGTGTAAATGGACTAAAGAATGCATTTCAAAAGCATCCCACTCCTTACTTGCTAATGGATCAGTGATCAAGGAGTTTAAAATGGAAAGGGACTTAGGCAAGGTGACCCCTTGTCCCCCTTTGTCACGATCCCATTCCGCCTCAAGTAGAATGGTGCCATGATGGCCAGTAATTCGAGATTACCAAAAGTCAACTTGTAAAGATTCACACAAAATCAGAGTATACATATGTGACTTACATGTGCGGAAGCAATAAATTTAAATTTAAATAGTCCACAAGAGCTGTGCATAGATCAAATGAAATGACATACATAACGTGATTTACAACTTGAGTTCAAATAGAATAAATACATATTACATCTTGATCTAAAGGCTTCTCAAGCCGACATATACAAAATGAACTACAATGACCAAGCCAAGAAGCATAATCTTCAAGATGCTACAAAATATGAATCCAAACAACTTGCAAATAATCATCTAGGCCTCACCGCCTTATTGCTCGTCACCTACATATATATATATATATATAGATGGTGAGCTTGGATACTCAATGAATGATATTAGTAATAAAGGTTTAAATGATTGACATCCGAGATCTTTATCAAACAATACATATCATAACTTGTACAAAATCAAGGGATGAACCAAGTTCATCTATCAAATTTTTCAAAGCTTTAAGGGATGCTTACTAGCATCAATATAATACAAGGAATGACATTCCAGACAAACCCACGTGGTAAACCGTCGGTGGCAAGACAAGGGAGATATCTCAAACAAGGGTGCTAGTTGCATTATAGTTCCCTAGCACTAAGGACTTTCAAAACAAGGGTACTAGTTGCATTATAGTCCCCTAGCACTAAGGACTTTTCAAGAATGTCATCAAAACAAATATAATACTTGATACAAAACTAGGGATAGTCATTTATGCTTGATCAAATACTTTTCCAAAGCAAAGCAAATCAAAGCTTTATCAAAACTTTATACCATAGCTTTATTAAAAATACCACTCACATACCTCTTCGGGTGTGGGGATTACAAGCAAGGATCCAAGGCCTACAAGCACATAATAAATCCCATTGAATGCATTTCAAGAAGACAAGAAGGGATGCTCAAAGATGGATATGAAATGCATTCCTAAAACAAGCTTTGCATGAGTGTAAATGATCTCAGCATTCTTTCAAAACTAAGTCAAGACAAAGCAAAACATATGCTGGAAGTTAAAACACTGTTTCTTATTTCGGGAAAACATGTTGGGCACCAACCAGGTCTTGGCCAAGGTCCCACACCTCTTGGCCGAGGTGTGGTCCTGATGACCATAAACAGGGAAATGAAGTTGGGAGAATCTGGGTTTCCCTTCGAGGAATAGGAAGAACATGAACATGAAGAACGCAAGGAACATAAATGGTAAAATCTTAACTTGTTATTACAAAATCTAAGATTTCATGAGATGAGTTCGAAAACATGAACCTGGGTACCCATACTTGGAGATTTCATGAGAACAAACACGAAAACATGGATCTTGATACAAACTTCTGGATCAAAACATGGTTTATTTCAAGAACACAAGAACATCATTTTCTCTTTCTAAAACAAGCTTTACATCAATGCATGGCTCATGAATAATGCTAGATCATGCAATGTGATTAGATGAACATAAAGAATAACACGAGTACATCAAGATTCTAACCTCAAAGCACAGATCTAATGGTTCAAGGTGTGAAGATCGAGCTTGGAAATCTATTCTCACTCTAAGAACTCTTCTTCCTCTCTTCCTAGGGCTTCTCTCTCTTCCTAGAACAAGATATAACAAAATGATGTAGGTTTCTCTACTGCCAGCAGACTTAACCCTCTGCTGGGACACGTGGCTACGGCCGGTTGGCTCTCCTCAAAAGGTGACTGACTGACAAGACAAGAGCATGACAAAGTGTGTACAACAAGCAAGGTGACATGGGCACTCCGGCAGGTAATGATCCCAGGTTAGGACAAAGGCATCGGCAAGTAAGGTCTTAATGATCTCGGCTAGGAAGGATAACACTTGGCCCAGCTGTGCCACACCTCGGCCTAGATGTGTCACACCTCGGTCTAGGTCATATCAGTCCAGGAACAAGATCACTAGGTGC